CGGGAGCACCGCCACACTCCCAAGCACCGCACTCTACTGAGTGCGCCACCGGGCCGGCCCCAGAAATCCTATTTTTAAGAAAATCAAAACAAAACCCCTTCCCTCCCATATGCCAAGTCTCAAGCTGAGGCAAATCTTCTCTGTGGTAAAATTGCAGACCCTACAGACGTCTGTGAAAGGAAGTTTACAGAACCTACAATGTGGCCCTCACCCTCAGAGTGCCTCATGTAAGGGGATTGCTTTGAGCCTGCCCCTGAAAAATGAAAAATAAAAACAAAGCCCAGGTGACGTTCTTCCCTCGTGTGCGGTGCCTGAGCTTCCCAGACGCTGTCCACAGGGTGGTCACATCAGGGCTCCCAGGCACCGTGCCTCCCCTGCCCACCATGGCCACCACCCCTTGCACTGCCAGCTGGCTCCTTCCCCAGGGCTGGTTCTCAGAGCCATCCCTGCTCTAGAGATGAGCGGATCATGCGTACGCAGCCCCACCGCGCCCACCCGTGCCGGAGGAAGATGGCTCCGAAGGGATGGGTTTTTGTTTTCTGAAACATCACTGACTGTCTGTATCTGTAGGGCACAGAGCTGTATATCCATACCTGTGTACAACGTGTGATGGTCAGATGAGGACAGTTGACGCGTTCATCGTTCCCCTTTACCAGTTTCTCCCTAGCCCCCTCCCCCCACCTGTGGCAACCCCATTTCCGTTCTCTCTCTTGAAAGGACGACGTATTATTGTGACTGTTGTATCTTTCAGGGATGGTTTTAAGGGCAGCCACACTTTCTCCGGCCCCGCATCACTGCCCAGGATGGGAGAGCCCGTCTTGTCCATGGAGGGACCCTGAATGCCACCGTAGTTGTTTCCCCCACCTCCCTCCCTCCTAACCCTTGGTGGTTTTCATGAACGTGGGGGATACGGTCCTCGGGCTGCTCTGGTGACTCACCCGATGACCACCTGGTCAGGTTCCTGACTGGTAAAACACATCCCGACCCTTCACTAACACGAATCACCCTGCCAGGACTGCTACAGCCTCCCTGGGGGAGGAGCACCCCCGTGTCCCAAAGGAGCAGGCCATGGTTCTCGCGGGCCCCTCCCGCGGCCTTCTCGCACAGTTGAGGCTGACATGTGTGAGAAGGTCAGACTGAGCCAGGACAGCGCCGAGCTGCAGCCCCTAGGGCAGACGTGGGGAGTGACAAGGACCGGCCCAGGAAGGAGGGCCACGCGGCAGGGGGCAAGCTGGCAGATCCTCAGGGGCCGCACACCCACAGTCCTCCTCAGGTGCCCGTGTCCTCGAGGGCCAGCTAGGGCCCCCTGGACCCATGGGAGTAATTTCTAGGAGCAGAAAGAATATCATTTTATTCTCGGGGTTATGTTTGGGGGAAAATTTCAACTGAGACCTTCCTTAGGTGTTTGAGATTTCCTTGGACAGAAGGCCTTTTCTACAATGATTTTGTACTACTCAGAAACAGCCACCAGCCTGGTACTTGTGTCCCGAGCCTCAGAGGAGGCTCCCCTCAGCCACCCCCTTGCCCCTGCAGGCTACGGTGAACACCCGGCCACAGCGCATCCTGGACACGTCCTCTCTCACGCAGTCGGCCCCCGCCAGCCCGACCAACAAGGGCATGCACATCCACCAGGTGGGGTAAGTGGCCCGGGTCCCCCAGGAGCAAGCTCGTCCCCAACGTCTGTCACAGTGACTGGCCTCACCCCTCCCTGTTGCCGTCTGCCCCCGCTCACTTTCTGCCCACCTTCCATCTCGTTTCCCCTCTCCTTCCCGCTCTGCAGCCACATTCTTCCCCCACTTCTCGCACACCCCCGTGTCTGTCTGACCCAAGACCTTCCTAGAATTCTTCCCCATCCCGAAGAACTTTCATTTGCTCGTATCATAACAACAGAAGTCCAGCTGAGCCTGATTTCTGTGCCTTTCAGAATTTTATAAGAGGAGATCTAGGTTCTCCAGGTAGGTAACCTACAGGGCAGGACCCTGTCTGTTGATCACTGTCAGCACCTTGGGATATGAGCTCAGAGTGGGTACACGCCCCAGGGACAGGTTCCCCAAGACCTGTCCCTGCCTGCCGCTCGCTCAATGTGTTCGTATTCAGGGAGAGATGGTTCTCAGAACCTGTGCAGCGTCAGCAGGTGGTATTTGGAAGTCGTGTTGATATGCCAGGCAATTGAGGACATTCCTGGGTCCGTTGGCAGCATCTGGGTAGGGATGGGGCATTCTAGAAGTTGTGTAGTGTTTCATCTCAAAGTGACAGACTCTTGGTAAAACCCAGTGTTTGTTCTTCTCCTGCCGGCAGAGGCTCCCCGCCAACATCCAGCACCAGCAGCTCCAGCCTGACTAACGACGTGGCCAAGCAGGCAGGCAGTCGCGACTTGCCCTCGGGCCGGCCAGGTGCCGCGGGCCCCGTGGGGACACAGTACACTCCCCACTCCCACCAGTTCCCCCGGACGCGAAAGATGTTTGACAAGGGCCCAGATCAGGTACAGACTCGGACCATTTTGTGACACCTGCGATGTGTGAACACTAAATC